GCATAAAAACACGCTATCAACATGCTAGTAACTTGTTAATCATGCTAGAAACATGTTAACAAAATGCTAGTAACTTGCTAATCATGCTAACAACATGCTTGCTAATCATGATAGAAACATGTTAACAACAAACGCTAGTAACTTGCTAATCATGATAGAAAAATGCTAACAAAATGCTAGTAACTTGCTAATCATGATAACAACATGCTAGTAACATGCTAATCGTGCTAGAAACATGCTATTAACTTGTTAATCATGTAGCTGGTTTTAAAGTGGTTTTGGCCACTTTTTTAGCAGGCCAGGCTGGTCTTAGCTGGTTTTTAGCTGGGTTTTTTTTTTTACTGAATCAACTGGTTTTAGCTAGATTAGCATAGAAACATGCTAACAACATGCTAGTAACTTGCTAATCATGCTAACTAAATGTTAGTAACTTGCTAATCATGTTAACAACATGCTAATCATACTAGAAATGTCCTAGTAACTTGCTAATCATGTTAAAAAAAGGATAACACCATGCTAGTAACGTGCGAATCATGCTAGAAACATGCTAGCAACTTGTTAAACATGCTAGAAACGTCCTAGTAACTTGTTAATCATGTTAAAAAGGGCTAACACCATGCTAATAACATGCTAATCATGCTAGAATCATGCTAGTAACTTGCTAATCATGCTAACAACATGCTAGTAACTTGCTAATCATGCTAGAAACATGCTAACAAAATGTTAGTAACTTGCTAATCATGCAAGAAACAATGCTAACAAAATGATAGTAACTTGCTAATCATGTTAGAAACATGCTAGCAACTTGATAAAAATGCTAGAAACATGCTAGCATCATGTTAGCTACATGCTAATCATGCTAGATTCATGATAGCATCATGATAGTAAACTTGTTAATCATGCTAACAAAATGATAACACCATGCTAGTAACATGCTGGTCATGCTAGAAACATGCTAGCAACTTGTTAAACATGCTAACAAAATGCTAGCAACTTGCTAAAAATGCTAGAAACATGTTAGCATCATGCTAGTAACATGCTAATCATGCTAGAGCCATGCTAGTGACATGCTAATCATGCTAGAATCATGTTAGCAACAGGCCAGTAAACTTGTTAATCATGGAAACAAAATGTTAACACCATGCTAGTAACATGCTAGTCATGCTAGAAAAATGCTAACAACTTCTAAAAATGCTAGAAACATGTTAGCATCATGCTAGTAACATGCTAATCATGCTAGAAACATGCTAGCAACTTGTTAAACATGCTAACAAAATGCTAGCAACTTGCTAAAAATGCTAGAAACATGTTAGCATCATGCTAGTAACATGCTAATCATGCTAGAAACATGCTAGCAACTTGTTAAACATGCTAACAAAATGCTAGCAACTTGCTAAAAATGCTAGAAACATGTTAGCATCATGCTAGTAACATGCTAGTCATGCTAGAAAAATGCTAACAACTTGTTAAACAAGCTAACAAAATGTTAGCAACTTGCAAAACATGTTAGAAACATGCTAGCATCATTCTAGTTACATGCTAATCATGCTAGAAGAATGCTAGCAACATGCAAGTAACTTGCTCATCATGTTCACAACATGATAGTAACAATGCTAATCATGCTAGAAACATGCTAGTAACTTCTTAATCATGTTAGAATCATGCTAGTAACTTGTTAATCATGCTAACCAAATGGTAACACCATGCTACTAACATGCTAATCACGCTAACAACTTGCTTGTAACATGTTAATCGTGTTAGAAACATGCTAATAACTTGCTAATCATGCTAAAAAAAATTTAACACCATGCTAGTAAATTGCTAATCATGCTAGCAACATGTTTGTAACTTGATAATTATGCTAACAACATGCTAGTAACTTGTTAATAATGTTAACAGCATGTTAACCATGTTAGAAACATGTTAAGAATGCTATAATAATGCTAGCAACATGTTAATAACTTACTAATTATGTTAACAACATGCTAGTGACAAATGCTAATCATGCTAGAAACATGTTAGTAACTTGCTAATCATGTTAACAAAATGTTAACACCATGCTAGTAACATGCTAATCATGCTAACAACATGCTAGTAACATGCTAATAATGCTAAAAACATGTTAGCAACATGCTAGTCATGCTAGAAACAGCCTAGCAACCACCCCAGGTACCTTAGCAATATGTTTTATACCTATCTGTTTTTCTGATAGACTGTATTGACTTGAAAACATTCAAACTTTAATCTTTAAAACTATTTTAACTTTCAAACTACTTCAAACTGAAAACTTTCAGACTGCAAGCTTTTAAAACTTTTTAAAACTTTCTAGCTAGGCTTTTTCAAGCCAACTTAAAGTTTGTCTACAAACTTTTCAATCTAGTTATTTCTGTTTTAACACAGAAGATGTCATAAGATAAATGGTTTAGTGTATGCTTACCTAAACATAGGATCTTTGTGTCCACTTAAGTTATGTGGTGGATCCACTGACCAGACACTCCTCATGGGCACACAGCTGGGATTAGATAACTTTGGTCTTTGCATCTGGACCAAACTGAAACAAAACAAGAAGGGGATTTAGAATCAGACACTGTGATAATGATTGACTGTTGATTAAGTGAATATATATGCTAAATTAAAGTTCACTATTATTCATTCTCTGGAAATTTCAGGATTCATGTTTCATCAGAAAAGGCTACTGCTGGCATTTACCTAAATCCAAGATCAGTGTGTTCATTAAAGTTACGTGGAGGATCCATTGACCAGTCTCTCTTCATGGACACACAGCTGGGTTCAGGCAGGTTCGGTCTGTGCACTAAAGTTTAAGTGAATGTAATTTGCACACTATTATATTCATGACTTTTGTAATGAACTAATTCAGGTGACTACATTTTTCTATTTCTATGCATTATGCTGTTGGAGACTTAACAGCAAGTGCACATCTACATATCGGAGCTGTTAATTGAGATCTTTTAGTTAATATCTTCTGAAATGCATTGCATAAAGGAACTTTAGTCAAACAGTTATTTCTGTGTTTCAACATAGATGATGTAACAAGATAAATGGTTTAGTGTAAGTTTACCTAAATCTAAGATCAGTTTGTCCACTGAAGTTATGTGAAGGATCCATTGACCGGTCACTCCTCAATGACACACAACTTCAGATGACTTTCATATTTGCATTTGGACTGAACTGAAACAAAACATGAAGGCAAATTAGAATATCAATGCTAAATTATTTTACCAAAAGTCATTTTCAGGAAATTGCAAATTGGTGCCATTTGTGAATGAAAATCAGATTTTAACCACTTTTAAATTTTAACCTAAAAGACCAGATTTTAAACATGATGGTTGTGGGAGTATCACACCAGATATTAATATTAATTTTCATAGACTTTAAAACATATTATGTGCCAGCTCTTTTACATGGCAAAGTTTTGAGGTTGAATGTAAAACCAAAAATGGAAACTAATGGCCTTAACTAGCAAATATCATCACAATGTATCATATATTCATGTAGTTTCATATTGTGCTGGTAAATCTGTAAGAAAAAAAAATCTCTTTGAACCATATAAACTCGGGGACACTTTATTTTAAGGTGTCCATGTTACAGTGTAATTATACATATAAGTACTGAGTAATATTAATTAATTACATGCACTTACTATATGGTTAGGGTTAGGATTTTGGTTTGACTTAGGGTTACTTGCATGTAATTACGCATACTTAATTGATATTATAATAGTAAGTACATGTAACATGTGTAACAAGGACATCTTAAAATAAAGTGTTACCATAAACTCCATTAAATATGATATCAGAAGCTAATTATCTAAATACGAAAACTAAAAAAAAACTACTTTTGTTTTTAAAAAGACTGTCACAGTATAACATTGTTAAAGAAGAATAAATATGCTTTTAAGAATAGCTAAAACACAACCATACTTTTGTGACATTTTAGTGTATTTACGGAAAACATACTTATTTTACTCTTACTTGAAGTATATTTTATGTTTACTAAGAACATAGTAAAATGATACAGCTTTTAGTGGGTTTAAAGGGTTAGTTCACCCCAAAATTAAAATTCTGTCATTAATTACTCACCCTCATGTCGTTCCAAACCCGTAAGACCTTCGTTCCTCTTCGGAACACAAATTAAGATATTTTTGATGAAATGTGAGAGCTCTCAGACCCTGCATAGCCAACAACGCAACTGTAAACTGAAACGTAGTAAGGACATCGGTAAAACTGTCCATGTGATATCAGGGGCTCAACTTCAGTTTTGCGAAGCTACAAGAATACTTTTTGAGCGCAAAGAAAACAAAAATAACATAATTTTTTCAACAATTCTTCTCCCCCGAGTTATGTCTTCCGCCATTTTAGAGAGTATCACAATGCATACGAACGCTTTCCCCTAAGTGTAAACAACGCTGATTTCGCAGATTACGTTAATGCGCGCGCTTTCTCCCCCGAACGTAAACAACGCTGATTACATCGATTACACTCTTGGGTACTCTCCAAAATGGCAGAAGACTTAACTCTTCGGAACACAAATTAAGATATATTTGATGAAATGTGAGAGCTCTCAGACCCTGCATAGACAGCAACGCAACTGTAATGTTCCCAGGTCCAGAAACGTAGTAAGGACATCGGTAAACAGTCCATGTGACATCAGTGGCTCGACTTCAGTTTTGCGAAGCTACAAGAATACTTTTTGAGCGCAAAGAAAACAAAAATAACATAATTTATTTAACAATTCTTCTCCCCCGAGTTACGTCTTCTGCCAGAAAACATTCAAACTTTAATCTTTAAAACTATTTTAACTTTCAAACTACTTCAAACTGAAAACTTTCAGACTGCAAGCTTTTAAAACTTTTTCAAACTTTCTAGCTAGGCTTTTTCAAGCCAACTTAAAGTTTGTCTACAAACTTTTCAATCTAGTTATTTCTGTTTTAACACAGAAGATGTCATAAGATAAATGGTTTAGTGTATGCTTACCTAAACATAGGATCTTTGTGTCCACTTAAGTTATGTGGTGGATCCACTGACCAGACACTCCTCATGGGCACACAGCTGGGATTAGATAACTTTGGTCTTTGCATCTGGACCAAACTGAAACAAAACAAGAAGGGGATTTAGAATCAGACACTGTGATAATGATTGACTGTTGATTAAGTGAATATATATGCTAAATTAAAGTTCACTATTATTCATTCTCTGGAAATTTCAGGATTCATGTTTCATCAGAAAAGGCTACTGCTGGCATTTACCTAAATCCAAGATCAGTGTGTTCATTAAAGTTACGTGGAGGATCCATTGACCAGTCTCTCTTCATGGACACACAGCTGGGTTCAGGCAGGTTCGGTCTGTGCACTAAAGTTTAAGTGAATGTAATTTGCACACTATTATATTCATGACTTTTGTAATGAACTAATTCAGGTGACTACATTTTTCTATTTCTATGCATTATGCTGTTGGAGACTTAACAGCAAGTGCACATCTACATATCGGAGCTGTTAATTGAGATCTTTTAGTTAATATCTTCTGAAATGCATTGCATAAAGGAACTTTAGTCAAACAGTTATTTCTGTGTTTCAACATAGATGATGTAACAAGATAAATGGTTTAGTGTAAGTTTACCTAAATCTAAGATCAGTTTGTCCACTGAAGTTATGTGAAGGATCCATTGACCGGTCACTCCTCAATGACACACAACTTCAGATGACTTTCATATTTGCATTTGGACTGAACTGAAACAAAACATGAAGGCAAATTAGAATATCAATGCTAAATTATTTTACCAAAAGTCATTTTCAGGAAATTGCAAATTGGTGCCATTTGTGAATGAAAATCAGATTTTAACCACTTTTAAATTTTAACCTAAAAGACCAGATTTTAAACATGATGGTTGTGGGAGTATCACACCAGATATTAATATTAATTTTCATAGACTTTAAAACATATTATGTGCCAGCTCTTTTACATGGCAAAGTTTTGAGGTTGAATGTAAAACCAAAAATGGAAACTAATGGCCTTAACTAGCAAATATCATCACAATGTATCATATATTCATGTAGTTTCATATTGTGCTGGTAAATCTGTAAGAAAAAAAAATCTCTTTGAACCATATAAACTCGGGGACACTTTATTTTAAGGTGTCCATGTTACAGTGTAATTATACATATAAGTACTGAGTAATATTAATTAATTACATGCACTTACTATATGGTTAGGGTTAGGATTTTGGTTTGACTTAGGGTTACTTGCATGTAATTACGCATACTTAATTGATATTATAATAGTAAGTACATGTAACATGTGTAACAAGGACATCTTAAAATAAAGTGTTACCATAAACTCCATTAAATATGATATCAGAAGCTAATTATCTAAATACGAAAACTAAAAAAAAACTACTTTTGTTTTTAAAAAGACTGTCACAGTATAACATTGTTAAAGAAGAATAAATATGCTTTTAAGAATAGCTAAAACACAACCATACTTTTGTGACATTTTAGTGTATTTACGGAAAACATACTTATTTTACTCTTACTTGAAGTATATTTTATGTTTACTAAGAACATAGTAAAATGATACAGCTTTTAGTGGGTTTAAAGGGTTAGTTCACCCCAAAATTAAAATTCTGTCATTAATTACTCACCCTCATGTCGTTCCAAACCCGTAAGACCTTCGTTCCTCTTCGGAACACAAATTAAGATATTTTTGATGAAATGTGAGAGCTCTCAGACCCTGCATAGCCAACAACGCAACTGTAAACTGAAACGTAGTAAGGACATCGGTAAAACTGTCCATGTGATATCAGGGGCTCAACTTCAGTTTTGCGAAGCTACAAGAATACTTTTTGAGCGCAAAGAAAACAAAAATAACAATTATTTCAACAATTCTGCTAACGCTTTCCCCTAAGTGTAAACAACGCTGATTTCGCAGATTACGTTAATGCGCGCGCTTTCTCCCCCGAACGTAAACAACGCTGATTACATCGATTACACTCTTGGGTACTCTCCAAAATGGCAGAAGACTTAACTCTTCGGAACACAAATTAAGATATATTTGATGAAATGTGAGAGCTCTCAGACCCTGCATAGACAGCAACGCAACTGTAATGTTCCCAGGTCCAGAAACGTAGTAAGGACATCGGTAAACAGTCCATGTGACATCAGTGGCTCGACTTCAGTTTTGCGAAGCTACAAGAATACTTTTTGAGCGCAAAGAAAACAAAAATAACATAATTTATTTAACAATTCTTCTCCCCCGAGTTACGTCTTCTGCCATTTTGGAGAGTACCCAAGACCATAATCGATGTAATCAGCGTTGTTTACGTTCGGGGGAGAAAGCGTGCGCATGAACGTAATCTGCGTAATCAGCGTTGTTTACACTTAGGGGAAAGTGTTCGTATGCATTGTGATACTCTTTAAAATGGCGGAAGACATAACTCGGGGAAAAGAATTGTTGAAATAATTATGTTATTTTTGTTTTCTTTGCGCTCAGAAAGTATTCTTGTAGCTTCGCAAAACTGAAGTTGAGCCCCTGATGTCACACGGACAGTTTTACCGATGTTCTTACTACTTTTCAGTTTACAGTTGCGTTGCTGTCTATGCAGGGTCTGAGAGCTCTCACATTTCATCAAAAATATCTTAATTTGTGTTCCGAAGAGGAACGAAGGTCTTACGGGTTTGGAACGACATGAGGATGAGTAATTAATGACAGAATTTTCATTTTGGGGTGAACTAACCCTTTAAAGTATATGTATCTTATTCATAAATCATATACTGCAATATATTTTAAACTTTTATGTAATGAACATGTGCTTCAGCCTGCTTTTTAACAGGAAGAAATGTTGAAAAACATTTTTAACATTTTAATATATTTCATAAAGTATATTAATTCACTTACACATAAATACATTAGCTATAAAACAAGCACAATTATTCTTACATTGTACCAACTTATACTATAAATATAATTTTGTCAACTATGCCTTAGTAATAAGCATACTTAAAATACTTACTAAGTCTAGGTAAGTATTTAATTTCTGCTACTTGTCAGTCGAAAGCTTTTTTTAAGCACAGTAGTTACATTCAATTTGACCAATCAGAGCCAAGCTTTTCAAATCGGCTTTGCAGGTCACACAGCTGTATGCTGTTGTGGTGGTAACATGTTTTCAGCAGAAATCATTCAATTTGACCAATCAGAGCCAAGCTTATCAAATCGGCTTTGCAGGTCACACAGCTGTATGCTGTTGAGGTGGTAACATGTTTTCAGCAGAAATCAAAAAGCGCTTTTCAAATCGGCTTTGCAGGTCACACAGCTGTATGCTGTTGTGGTGGTAACATGTTTTCAGCAGAAATCATTCAATTTGACCAATCAGAGCCAAGCTTATCAAATCGGCTTTGCAGGTCACACAGCTGTATGCTGTTGAGGTGGTAACATGTTTTCAGCAGAAATCATTCAATTTGACCAATCAGAGCCAAGCTTTTCAAATCGGCTTTGCAGGTCACACAACTGTATGCTGTTGAGGTGGTAACATGTTTTCAGCAGAAATCATCCCAGTTTTGCTTTACTTTATTTTCCTGACTAGAAAACCATGCAGGTCAGCTCTCGCCTCCCGTCCCGTGAACAACTTAATAGGTGCTTAAAAGGTTTGTCTGCTAAGTTGAAGCAGATACGGACAGATGAAGATACTGCCTGCAGAAATGTTTTTACTAGCCATTTGTTTAACTAACTTTAAGCTCACTTCTGAGTTTTTCCCGAGGTGGATAATTGCTAATGTTAGCTAACACGTGGAATGCTGACGACACTGACACATACTAGCTAGTTATCTAGCAACTATAGGCACTGGGTATATGGCTGCTTACATTTTGTCTGTCATGTAACAACTATAAAAACATTGTCCAATGTATTGGCAGAAAGAATAATTTGTCGTTATAGCATGTACACCATTAACATGCTATTTTTTTTTTATTAAAATTAAGTTATGGTTTCTTTTTCATCAACAATTTGTAATTGTAACAATTGTAATGAAGTAAATGTTAAATATAAATGAGTATTTCATTGTGAAATATTATGTTAAACTTTGTTGTTTTCAGATCAGCTGTAGTTGCAATAGAAAACAAATTGAAATCAGATTAAGAAAGTGGTAAGTATGTTTTAATCTCATATCAATGAATCTCACAGGTTTAATTCTGGCTGACATATTTCCTAATAAAGTGACTACTCGGGCTACTCATGCTAACTTTGGATTCAGCACTTCTGTTGAAAAGATGTAGGGCCTCTTTAACCTAATGTTCAGTGTAACACAGAGTATTGTATGGTGACGACAGACAAGAAGATAAAAATGGACGCTCATGTCAAGCTTGATGAAGATTTAGTCCAAGCTTTGAAAGGTAAACTGAGAACAGTCAAATTCTAATGCATATCTATGCAAATTATAATACATATGATATTCCAAAACACCACTCAAAACCACTGATTCATTATTTTTCCTTTCACAGACCCTGCGATGCCGTTTTCAAAGACTACAGTGTCTGAACTGCAAGCCCTCAGATGCAGAAAATGCAGCAAGTCGTACTCAAAGAATAGTGACCCTCCACTTGAAGATGACAATGGTGACATTTCAAATGTTCTGTTTCTTTGTTTGATTTAGCCATTTGCAGACTTAAAGGGATAGTTCACCCAAAAATGAAAATTCTGTCATCATTTACTCATCCTCATGTCGTTGCAAACCTGTATGAGTTGCTTTCTTATGTTGAACATAAAAGAAGATATTTTGAAGATTGCTGGTAATCAAACGGTTGGTGGTTGCCATTGACTTCCATAGTAGGAAAAAAAAATACTATGGAAGTCAATAGCAACCACCAACCGTTTGATTACCAGCAATCTTCAAAATATCTTCTATGTTCAACATAAGAAAGCAACTCATACAGGTTTGCAACGACATGAGGATGAGTAAATGATGACAGAATTTTCATTTTTGGGTGAACGATCCCTTTAACTTTGTAAAAAAAACTAAATAAATAAAATAAATAAATAAAAAAGCACTTTATTCACTTCTGCGCTTTGTTTTTAGTAACTTTGTGTGTGTGTGTGTGTGTGTGTGTGTGTGTGTGTGTGTTTCATTATTTTTTATAAATA